CTTCATCCCCAGTGCCTGTGCCATCGCGACCCCCATTTTTAACTATTTTTACTACGTTGGGCAAGACGTTAATCAACAGAAGTTTACAGAGATAAACTGAAGAAGGCAGAGACTAGTCAGGATAAACAACGGCATAGGAAACATAATATATTGATATTAGTATATATTTAAACGAAATATCATTATCCAGAGTTAACGGATTAGATAAACTCATATTCAACAAAGGCTTTCATCATCAGATTTTCAGTGGTTTTCATAGAACATAGTATACGTGTTTATACATATAACTTATTGTTTCAGAAGAAAGTTGGTTTGGTTGTTATTTAGCCCAAAGCTACACAATGGGTTATTCCACTTCACGGGTATCGAAGTCAGAATTTTAGCGTCGTAAGTTTGCAGATTTACCACTAAGCTACGGAGGGTGGATGCTAGTGACAAAAGTGCCCATAGAATATGCCAAAATGGAGTTAAAACGCAAATACACCTAAATTACAACTTTCCATGTTGTTTCATCACGTGCATTTGGGCAGCTTTGAATAGTGTTTCGTCAAGTATGAGTGTACTTCTATTTAACCAACATCAGGCAGAAATCTAAGCTTAATAACTCTTGTATTCTTCAAAATCTAACTTGAAAATCCATCACATTATGATTTAAGTCTAACAAAACTGCTTGGCTGCAGATCTTTTTCTTCACATTGTTTTTAATTAGCTTTTTTTTTCGGACTTGAATCAGAGACATAAAATAGTAGTATCTAAGATACATCTTCTGATTGTCAAAAATCATTATCCAGACGTTAATGAATTCTGATGTTGAATGAAAGTCGTGCTACACAAGACACCTTGATAAAAAATGTTTTTTTTTTCTACTCTTCACTTGTAACATGTTAATTATTATTATTATTCAGTTAAAGTTGCTTCACAACCAATATACATTGTCTAATAAGTGATGTACTGGACAAAAGCTCTTCTTCTAGTTCATTTATATTATATCTATATTGTATTTCCTCTATTGATCACTGTTACATAAATAATGTTAATGAATAATCATAATTATAGTAACGCATTTCGACAATAAGTTCTATTTTCTCCTTGCTTTAAAAATTGTAATTTGAATTTACACAATAAAAACGATTATAAATAAAATGAAACTCATTGGTATACTTACAAAATTAATAGAAATTCAAATGTAGCATATTCAAAAGTAAATTGAAACATAAAATCGAAACTAAAAATTTTGTAGCAACACAATTTGAAAATAAGATACTAATCACAACGTTAAAATCAAAATTACACACAAAAAGCAAAGGAACAAAATATACAAAAACAATAAATGCAATGGTATCATTACCATATAAAAAATACACATATTAAACTCACCAATACAAGATAAAACGACTATAAAAATATATTAAAGTATGAAATGAAACCAAAAAACTCTATATAAAATTATCATATATAACGCAATCAAAATATGAAATATAAACCTTTATGAATCAGAGAAAGCATATACACAGCGTGGTCACAAGTAAATAGACACCACCTTTTCATAAAAAACTAATTTTTCAGTCATATTCACATGAATTGATATATTTATAACTTAATCAATATCTAGTAGATCTTTCTTTCGCTTCGTGGAGTTCGTTGATCC